CATGAAAAGATGTGTTGAATTCAAGATCTTAGATATCATGTTGAATCATATAGTAAAAGTTTAAGCTTTTAAACGAATTAATTTGGTGAAAAACAGAAGGCAAAAAATACAACTTGATAGAAAGGAGGGAGGGAAGTTCACTAGTAATTATTTGAGCCTTGTTGTAATTGCATATACTTGTAATGCCTCGTAGTAAATCCTGACTTTCTTGTTTTGATTGTTTGAGGTGCAGACTGTGCGGTAGAGCTGATCAAGTTCGGACCTGAGAGGTTGAGTTCATAGATACTGAAATCTTTTAGAGAGAATTGTTTCTTTGTGGGTGTAGAATGAGCCAAACAAGGAAGATAAGAGAGAAAAGTGAGCAGACATATAAAGCAAAGAACAGTTTCTTGTGAAACTTGTTGAAGGCGAATCCTTAGCACAGTGTTTGGGTGATTTTTCAAGGAATGCCATCCCCGCATATTAGGGCCTTCCACATCACTGATTATATCAGTAACCATGTCATTTCCAAAGTGTTGATCCATACGCCTTTTTTTCCTTGCCAAGTCTTCGTGCTCTCAGCACACTTTGCTGCCTTCTCCCATATTTGTTACTGCCTATTGACAACTCAAGAAGGGTTACTGTCCAAATATTAGGACCTCTTTCCCTTTGACCTTTTTTTTGTTCTCCATTGTAATCCTTGTTCAAATGGCACAAGTAGATAAGATAAAAGATAAAAGATAAAATAAAATAAAATAAAATAAATTCAGGCATATCCCTAGTTCAAAACCAACACATCTAACGCTACAAAAATTAAATTTCAAATCCTATCAAATCTCAATACTCATAAAATATTTTACAATAATAATTATAAGAAATGAGTTAGTGTTTAGGCTAGTGCTGAATTGATTTATAATTGAAGAAAAGGGCTTAAATTTTGTTGAGGTAAGATAAGGACATGAAAAATAAGTAAACTTTGTCCCAAATATGTAATTAAAAGATGTGGAATCGAGATTCTGTATTGATATAGATATCGTCTACGTTCACTCTCAATTGCTTGGGGTAGTTATGATTTGTGCATACAAGCAATCAATCATCCCAAACACAAAGAAGTGGAATTTGAAAGTGTATAGCAAAAGAGATATTAGCTGTCTGCTAAGATCGAGTCCCTATCAAATATCAATTATTAAAAGAGATGCTATTTCTACACGCTATTTTAACATATGGGGTTCCAAAATGTTGAGTTGACAAGATTTCACACCATTTTGGACATAAATCAAAGTTAAACTGGTCAATAAAATCTTGCCAGCTCTGCACACGTAATCTCATTTGGAAAAGTAACATTTTTCAATTATTAAAGACATTTAACATTGAAATTGGAAATTCCTCAGCTAAGATTAAGCCTAAACTTAAATTGAATAAGATCATCCTGTTGAACTTGAATTTTTCCCACAGTAAAATTGAATTCTTAAAACCGTAAATACCATATTGAATCATATTATCTAAAAGTATAAACTTTTAGACGATCCATATCATTGAGGAACAAAAGATGAGGCAAGAAATACAACTTTATTTGTACAAACTTTTAATTGCCATTTTCCAAGCCTTTCACTCAATACTGCTTAAGTAATTCAAATTTTCAGTTGATTATATAGTTCAGACAATAGTAGAACACACTGTCCCCTGCTTAGAGCTCAAAGGGCCTGATGGTATGGAATTGAATGGCAAAACAGCTACGCAGTTTACATTAAACCTATACCTCCCTGAAACCCAAGTTCCGACTTTCCATCTAAGCCGTCCGATCACCTTCAAAGTCAAAACAAGTTTCCCGATTCTCTGATCACGTCCAACTTCATAACCGAAGGATGGAGCCACTGGTACCTGATTTCCGGCCAAAGACGCGCTCAAGAGGTTAGTCTCTTCATTCTCTTGATAGAAAGGTGGGAGCAAAGTTTGTCGAGTGATTATTTGTCCCTTATAAGATGCATACACTTGTAACACATCGTAGTAAACGCCGACTTTCTTGTTTGGATTGTTGGATGAGAGAGTGAGACGAATGTTAGAGTTAATCAGGTTCAAACCTGAGAGGTTGAGTTGATAGATATTGACGTCTTTTAGAGAGAATTGTGGCTTTGTTGGGTGTAAAGTGAGCCAAATAAGGAAAATAAGGGATAGGATAGTGAGCAGAAATGTAGAGAAAGCAAAGAAGAACTTCTTGTGGAACTTGTTGAAGTTGAATCGTTTCTTAGCACAATCTTTGGGGGATTTTTCATCGACTCGAGACATTTTCACAGAGAGAGAGAGTGGGAGGGAGGAATTTTGATGTGCTGAGATAAGGAAGGGATGGGTTTCTTTTAAGCAACTTCTAAGAAAAAGTTACTTATTTCTAAAATAATTCTCACTTGCCATTGAAATAAGTTACTCATTTCCGGTTTGATAGAAAGTTGTTTTTAAACCCTACTTGTTTACTCGTAAGAAAACATTTTAAAGGAAAGGGAGGAGTGGAAATGATGGGGTTCAGTGCAAAAGCAGCAATTATTTTCCTTTCAAGGGAAGTTCGAATGATCCAGGGGTAAATATGAGATTTCACCTAAAAATTACCATAACATACTTTAGGATGGTAATTTTATCTCCACAACTTTTATTTAATACACTATATTTTAATTGTAATTAAACTCCTCAATCTTTTTTCATTGAAGCAATTATTTTCTTAACTTTTTCTTTTTCCATTGAATTTTTATTTTCAACTTTCCATTAATTAGTATGTACTGCCCTTAATGATAATTTATGTCAAAATATTTTGTTTTCAAGCTTTCAAATGACTCGGAATTTTTTTTATACTTTTTATTTATTTA